CCCCATTGGGGGGAGATGGGCGGTTGAAAAATTTAATAAATAAATAAAATAAATAAATAAAATTTCTGTTCTGTCCAAGTCTTGATTTTTTCTTCACCTTTTCCCCTTGTTTGTTCCTAGCTGGGCTTCTGGACTCTTTGTCTCTTTTTCCTAACATTGGTTCCATCTGAGGGAAATGGCTTGAAGAACTTTTACCTCATGCCAGTGTGGGAAGAGAAAAATGTGCCTCTTTCCCCACATTTCTCAGCTGCTGCCTTCTTTCCTGTTGCCTCTTCTCACCAGGGTTATCTGTCCTCTGGGTTGCCTCTTTTCTTTGTCTCCTGGGCTTTGGCTTTGTTTATTCAGCCTACTGTATTCTTTATGAGGCCTGTGGCAGCAGAATGCCCAGGTAGCCATCTTGCCTTCCCTCCTCCTCCCTCCTGCACACTTGTTTGATTAGCAGCCGGGTCATCCTGACGATGGGGGAGGGCCAAGATGGAAGGAAGGAGGATAGGGGGTTTAAATCTGATCAGACAGCCTGTCCTTCCACGGCCAGTTTCTCTTCCACAAGCACTGCTACCAATTCTCTATGTATACCATTCTCTATGTATTTCATTTTGTTTCCTAAGTGAAGATCCTCACACTTGTCTGTTCAACACCCAGATAAGTCATCTGTTCATCTAGAATATTGTCTAATTCTGGGTATCACGTTTTGGAAAGGTCATAGACAAACTGGTGAGCAACTAAATTCCAAGGGCCTTGCAAGTACACAGTCATGAGGAACTGTTGGAGGCATTGTGTATATTCCATCCTGGAGGAAAAAATTCCTATTTGGATAGGGTAGAGAAATGGATCATGGAGAAAATCTGTGTGTGGCCCCTAAGAATCAACAACGACTTAATGGCACATAATCAATCAAGAGAAATGACCTGAAAGTCACAAAAACAAATTTCATGGAATCCGTATTAGGACTCTGGATCTGCACTAGCTCAGAATGACAGAGTTGGAAGGGGCCTTTGAGGCCATCAATTCCACCCCCCCTCCCCGTGTTGCATGTGGCACAGACGTGATTAAGGCTGCTAACCTCGTCTACACTTTCTCGATTTTATCTGTACTGGAGAACCCTGCTTGGAACAGCACCAACGCCATTTGAGCCCCATCCCTTTTGCAGGGAGACAGGGAAAGGACGCTGGGCAGTTCCCGAAAGAGTGGCTGCTTTGCTGCCCGGAGGTGGAGATGCAGCTTATTCCAGCCTCTACCCAGCCTCCTCCATTCCCATAATCTCCGCTCCCACAACTTTTCCCACGCGCTCTCAATAAACCGCCAGTTTGCGATGAACTGGTCGGCGAGCATTGGAGGTCTGACAGCTAACGGCCGAATGGAACTGAGCATGCGCTGTAAAGCTTTGTCAGCACTTGGAAAATGCTTGTGCGGGGGACCGGAAGTGACGGTTGCCAAGAAAGCCTTGCCTATCTAGGAAGGGCTCTCTCACACCCTCACGCCGAGGCGCCTGCAGACAAAGAGGGCGCAGGGCTGAGCGGCGGCTGTTCTTCTCACGAGCAAAAGCGAGGGAGCGAAACCGCAAATCCTCCCGAACGGGTTTGCCGGGAAGGCTGGGAAGGGGCTGGTGAGTGTGGGGAGGAGGATCCTTTTGCCCCCAGCATGAAAATAGGAGGCAGTGAAGCCCAAGACAGACAGAGGGAGGCGCCGTCCGGCCGGTTCAATCCCGCATTGGCTCACCTGCAGCTCCCCGGCTGGATCTCAGTACCTGCAGCGATCCGGGGAGATCGGAAAGCGCCTTCCCCCCTGGTTCCCCCTGCGCCTCCGCTCCTCACGCGGCCCGTTTCCTGATCCTGCAGGGTCCGAGATGTGGGAGTTCTGGATGGCGCGTTGCGCAGACAGGAAAAAAAATGACATTTGGATTGCAGTTCTTTGTTGTTGTTTTTCCTCCTGAAGTTGGAAGAGGAGAGCATCATATTTTGCCTGTGACGTCTCTTTTTGAGCTGAAAATAAATGATAAAGAGGACACCTCAGTGGCCTCATAAAGTTAATCCATAGCCTCTTCGTGAAAATTGGACACTTTGTGGAGCCAGGAGAGCATTTGCCCTATTTTGAACTCCACTTGACCAGGAAGATAAAATGGAGGTCCAACGATCTTCAGGAAGAGGAGCTTCCAAAGGCCCTCCTGCCATTCGGCCTGGGAGCAGAGGGGACTTTGGGGGAAGGAGCAGCCTAAAAGTCCTCCCTGAGGGGACCCTCAGCTCAGACGCTCAGCGCTGGCGCTTCCAGAGTTTCTGCTACCAGGAGGCCCGAGGGCCCCGGGAGGTGTGCAGCCAGCTGCACCGGCTGTGCCATCTATGGTTGAAACCAGAAAGAAGCACAAAAGCTCAGATGCTGGACTTGGTGGTCCTGGAACAGTTCTTGGCCATCCTGCCCACAGAGATGGAGACCTGGGTGAGGGAATGCGGAGCAGAGACCTGCTCCCAGGCAGTGGCCTTGGCAGAGGGCTTCCTTCTGAGCCAAGCAGAGGACAAGGAACTAGGAAAGAAGCAGGTGAGAGAAATTCATCCTGGGAGCTTCCTAGGGTGATAATGTGACAAGCAGTGACCTTCATTCCTGAACTTTTTAAAGCCTTGCCCGTCTTTTCTGGAACTATTCTCTTAGGTACTCTTTTTTTTTTTTTTACAAGAAAGAGGAAACAAAGAAGCATAGGTACATTGCACAGATGCAAATTAGTAGAAAGAATTATCAGACAATGAAAAAAGAGATATTAAATAAGACTTGAACATTATTGTTTGGTGCATAAAATGGAGCTTAGCCTACATATTTGAAAATAATATGCAAAACTAAAAATTTAAACTTAAGAGGCAGTTGGAGAATGGATGGAATAAAGTGTCCAAAGTGCCCTTCAACAGTTCAGGATATGTGTCTTCCCCAGAAAAGCATCTCAGTTTAATCACCTAACTGCCAGGCTAGTGGTCTCCCCACTGCAAGAGGCAACGAAAAACCAAACTGGTCCTTAAACTCAATCAAAATACCCCAGGAGGAACAGATAAAACAGACATAATTAAAATCACAAAGAAGAAAAGGCCTCATCCTTGAAGAAAAGAACAAAAGTAGAGGAGGAACTCATAATCAGAATAAAAAGAGGAAATAATAAAAAGAGGCACAGAAGCATGTCACAAAAACAGCAGAGCATTCACCCAGAAATAGCAGCCAAATACAGAGATGAATCATTGAGTGTTATCCCTTTGATTTGGGTTGGTTAGGATAGATGGAGAAGGCAAGGCAAGGAAGCTATCACAGTCATGGTCATCAGAAAGTGGATCATAAACCAGGCTGATCTTTTAGGTGCAGGAACTGTTCGTGGAGGAGATCTCAGCAGACCCCCGGGGAAGAGGAGATCAACCCAGTCCTCCTTCTCAAGAGCTGTTTTTCAGGAGGATCTCCCAGGAAGATCCAACTCGGGTCACCTCCCCATGTAAGTGAAGGTTTCTTCTGAAAGCCCAAGCTCCTTCCATTCATGAGCTGCTTTTGGCCACTAAGTTCTAGGCCTGTCTCCTTTTCTGTTCTTTATCATGTGTTCCCACAACTTATTCACAAACCTTAAAATAGTCTGTTTCCCTCCCCTTTCTCTCCTTAACAGGGAATGGAAGAACATTGATGGAAATCCCTGAAATGTTACTTGTTTGTGATGGGACAGAAGTAGCAGCTGTGCCTCCAGCTCAGGTGGGGGACTTGAAGCCCAGCAGGGAACTGTTTGGAGCCCTCCAATGTTGTTATGGGGCTCAGTGCACAGGCTGTTCTTCAGCAAAAGAGGATGTAGAGGCCAAGCTTCAAAGACCCACTGAGTCATACTCACTCAGTTTGATCTACCCTTCAAGGTTGTTATGGAGATACAAAGAGAAAACGTATAAGCTAATCTGAGAGGCTGGTAATAAGGAAATGCAATTTATACTTGAAAAAAATTGATATTTTCTTTTCTTTTGCATGTGGTAGGCTAATGTAATGAACATAAATTAGTATCCAATACAGGAGTGAAAGATGCAAATACATCCGCATTGTATAGGAGTGCAGAACACCAGTTAGAAATATTTAAAATGTGGAAGGTTTATAGAGGGAGATTCAAACTCGAAATAAGGAGGAATTTCCTGACTCAGAGAACTGTTAAGCAGTGGATGGACTTTCCATTTTGGAGTTGTGGAGGCTCCGTCGCTGGATGTTTTCAAACAGAGATTGGACTGCTATTTTCTGGAATAGTCTAATTCTGGGCAGGGGTTGGACTAGAACAATTTTTTTTAACCCTATGATTCTATAATTCTGTAAATAAAATCAGGGAATTGAATCCATAGAAAAAGCATAAAAACTATTACAGAAATACAGAAGCATATTCACTTAAAAATTAATGACACGAAGTACAGATTTCCTGGGTAAAAAACCCTGCAGTTAAGTTCTCCCTGGGATTGTCTGGTAAATGATATTTTCTTCCTCTTTCAGGGCTTCATCGCCTTTGAGGAAGTGGCTGTGCAATTCACGGAGGAGGAATGGGCACTCCTCAGTTTGAGCCAAAGAGCCTTGTGCAGGGAGGTCATGCTAGAGGTTTCTATGAACATGGCTGCTCTGGGTAAGGCCCCACTTTGCTCTGGGTTCAATTCATTGAAAAAGTCTTTTAGGGACAGGAAGTCAGGGAACATATTTCTATGTATTGGCCTCAAGTGGTTTTACAACTCCTACCGACCACCACGTGAATTACCACTTTCCTAATCTCCAAAAACCCAGCAGGATCAGATGTGGTTAGTTCTTGGATAGGGGGCTGCCAGGATATCCAAGGTCTGTTGGCAAGGCCAACAAAAACAAAAACCCTCCAGGAAGAAGAAACTGTCCTCTTACTTGAGAGTGACAGAAAGAGGGCAGGGTAGGCCTGGGGGTGCAGTCTGGAATCCCCATGGTGTATTGAGGGAGGGAGGGAGGGAGGGAGGGAGGGAGGGAGGGAGGGAGGGAAGGAAGGAAGGAAGGAAGGAAGGAAGGAAGGAAGGAAGGAAGGAAGGAAGGA